GAGAGAGAGAGAGAGAGAGAAATAAATGAATGAATGGTACCATCACAAATGTTCTGCTCAATATACTTTGCAAAGATCATTGCCATCTTACTGTAATGTTTAAAATATATCTAGTTTTTATTTAAAAAATGTTTAAGTTCTAGCTCAGCACTGTTGCTTAAGTGGGATAACAGAAAACCCATTGGTTACCTCATAGACAGCAAAGCCAATGGTGTGCATGTCTCCTCCGGTTCGGCGGGCTTTTCGACGGTGTTTCTGCATCAAGGCCACCAAGAAGGTGCAAGCCAGTTCATCATCCTCTGGGTCATCATCCTCTTCTAAGAGCTTGATTTTGAACTGCGGATTAATCCAGAACGTAGCTGCAAAAGGATTGGGGGAGAAAATATCTAGCAATGCTGTGCTTTCAACAAAGGGTTCCACAACTGCATGACTGGAAACAAGGAACAGCCTCGTTTTCAACAACTGAGAAGGCATCCAGAGACAAACCACATTCAGGCTATAGGTACAATATACCATAGACACCTACTGGCTCAAACAGTGAGACAGAGTAATGCACACCATGATATGGTCTCCATTTTAAAGTTGGATATACTATAGAGAATATAGGGCTCGGTTTATTAGTCCACATTAGCACACAAAGAAGAAGAAGGGTGGAGGAAGAACTGAAAACTGGGATTACCTGGGTGGTTCCTGCAGCCCCCAGCCGTACTGCCTCGGCGCCAGGTTCCCTCAAAGAGAGTGGTGTGCCATCTACTTAATTCATCCTTTGTCAGAGCATCTGGAGTTAAGTTACAGATCTCCAGTCTGGAAAATTCACGGAGGAAATCTCGAAAAGACATCCTGCAGACACAAAAGGCATGGTAGAGCCACAGAGAAGGGAAAAGAGGAGAAACAGACATAATGACTTAGCACCACCCAGGACCCTTACCATTGCTACTCTGCAGTCATCTTTGCAGTACATGAGAGGACAAGTATTTTAAGAGGCAACTAAGTGGCATTAGATATTTCTGAATATACTGACCTAAGAGAGAATGAGCACTGTCAGCTATTTTAGAACTTACCAGAATTCACCATCTTCCATTTTCAGTTGCAATTCATCTCTCTCATCAGGATCCACTTCATTCCACTCAGAAGAGCTAAGACACCAACAGAAAAACAAGTTATGCTATGCTTTCCATTTTCCTCTAGGAAAATCAGTGTTAGAGGCCGCAATAGAGTGATTCAAAGAGGCACATGGGAGACCACCTGTTTTACAGATGTGGCAGTTGGGCTCTTACAAAAGCCATTGCATGACCCACCTGTCACTCCAGGCTCCTGTCCACTCCACTTGGCCCCAGGGATTCCTTATCCGGATGAGAGATTCTTGTCGCCCTCGATAATTCACCTGTGAAAGTTGAGGCATTAGATACCCTGTACCATTGACTAAGCCTTTGAGTTGGTCTCTTCAACCCTATTAAAAGAAACTCACATTCTTAAATCCTGTGACAGAATAGGCATGCCCCTTCACCAGCTTCTTGAAGGTAACTGCTTCCATATCAAATGCACTGGTGATCTGTGGAGAAAGGATGTCTGACCTTAGTCAACAGGCTGAAACTTCCCTCTCAGCACACACTGACTCCCTACTCATGTTTCTTGAGTCTTAGAGAAGGAAAAGACAGTACTATTGGTGTCGCTATTCCTATATTAAAGTGGCTACAAAACATAACATGCCAGTAGCAGCCCATAACTTGAGACTACAAACATTCTCCCATGTGTCCTGAACCTTTCAGAAAGATGCAAAGATCACCAGTACAGTGCCATTATTAGCAAGAAAGAGGTTTGGTCTCCAGATGGTCTTCCTATAAACCAATAAAAGACTGCAGGCAGCTCATCCATGTTAGCTGTAGCCTTTGACTTCCGGACTGCTTTGGATGGCCTGCCATGGGTAAGGCTGAAGAAAACTTAGCTCTTTTAGTCCTTTTTTTCCTTCTCTTCTCTACAGATGGAAGTCAAACATTTTTACATTTGAAGGTGCCATTACATAAGAGTAAGATGATTCTGCAATTACAAGCTCAAGGGCAAACTGTTCAATGACTTTAGTGCTTGTCATGAGTGTAAAAACTGAGTGAAGTAAATGTGTTGGCAATTCACAACTGAATTCTGGTTCTTAAATCATATTTGACATGTGTTCATCATTTACAGTATTTCCCTAGGCTCTTGTGAACTGCTTATCCTCCTTCAGGAAGAAGTGCAGGAAACCCATCTTATTTCAGCTCACAGATACATTTATATGAGTCCACCATGTAGGAACGATCCATCAACAAGCCCACTGGGAAATTAAAGTACATATGGAAAAGGAAAAACAATGTGGAATACGCTAGGATTGGAATACTCCTGTTGAGCAACTTGGAACCACTGCATTTCTCTTGCTTAAACTGCACATATTTTTAAAAAAATCTCCTCACACATAAAAACCCATATGGGAAAACACTTAAGGAACATGGGAAGGCTTTGCAATGTGTCAGTAATCAAAGAAGACACTGTGTGTCCAGAATGTGTATCTTGCAAATGTCCCACAACATGATTAGTCAAACATAGTATCTCACATCAACATTTGATTAGCTACTTAGTCATAACAAAGCTATATGTCTTGTTCCATTTTTCACATTGTTATTGCTGTTATGTGCTGTCAAGCTGGAACTGACTTATGGTGAACCTAATTGGGCTTTCATGGTAAGTGAGATATTTAAGCAGTGGTTTTATCAGTTCCACACCCCCAATGAGCTTTCATTGCTGAGTGCGGATTTGAACCCTGGTCTCCAGAGTCCTAGTTCTTACACACTACACAACACTAAGTATCATTTTTCACATAAAGATAACATTCTTTTCTTCTTTGAATTTTAAGAGTGCAAATAAAAAGTTAAAGCAAAATAGAGCTTAAGCAGCATTTGCTATGAGCTAAAGGTGGTTTTTCAGTACCTGTTTCCATCACAACAGGATGCCAAATAAGCATCCTTCCATAGAGTCTAATGCAGGGAAAGGAACTTGTGGCCTCATCCTTCCTTTCCCTGCCCAACCATCTCTGCGGTAGTTCTACACATGAACCCTATTAGCTGAATCCCTGAACTATTTACAGCGGATATAAAAACAGAGATTGAGCCAAAGGAGGGTAGCAATCGGCTTCCCTTCAGATGCTAAATCTGAAGGGAGGATTTAGGATAACTCTCTTTCCTTGGGCACTTACATCAATAGAACAGCCGAGAAGTGAACCCCTCTCAAGAGCCTTGCAAATGATCCTGACAATATCACGGGGTGGCTTCTTAAGGTCGAACATTTCTGACACGCCGCCTGTGAAGTCCTCAAAACCCTCTGTGGTGCTGCCCCCCGACAGGGCCTCATAAGAACCATTCAACCTGCATGCCAGACAGAACCAAGGAAGTTAGTGAGATCGCTTTAAACCCTGCCTGCTGAAAGTCCAGGTACTGTGGAGTGGAATTACAAGAAGCAGCAGGAGAAAGCAAGGCCAAAACCTGCTGGGGAAAGGGGGCTAAGGGAGTGGGCTCACTTGGCATATGCCTTTTCCAGCAGAGCACTCCAGAACTCTTGGCATTCTGCTGAATGTACAAACACCAGCTCTCCATCCTTGATTGGTAGCCGGTCATCGACCACCACATCTACCCATTCACCAAACTGCCAGATCTGGAAGATAAGAAGAAGAATGAGGAGGTACGGCTAGGCACCATTGATGAGGCTAGGTAAAGTGAGGAAAGTGTAGGTTTGACCATCCCTTGGGCAACAACCTTGTTTCTCCATTAAGGCTTTCTTTGTGGCTTGACGATTTCAATAAATCTGCGGCTCATTTAGTGGTGAGACAGGACTCAGGGTGAAGCACTTCCAGTACCCACTGGCCTCACCTGGAAATGGAAGATCCCTGCATAGTCTTCCTGGAAGCTCTGTCCATGAGGGACAACCCGATGCAGAAGTTCCTCATTGAGAGTCAGGGAGCCAATGGCAGCCAATAACCAGCAATCACCTAACAAGCAAGGAAAGAAAAATCACTCAGATGCCCACCAAATCTGCGTTCTGATATCCCCGTTTCTATATCAGATGTGAATATATTCTTGAAGACAGTCATATTATTCTTTCTTATAAAAACCATCAGGATATTATTTCTTGCTTTGAGACATGCATACTGTATGATGCCCACAGATGGCTGGATAGCTCAGTGGGCTCTCCTGGTTGAAAGTCTGACTCCTCATTGAACTTCCTGGAAGAACCAGTCTATGTGATCTTGAGTAAGATACACTGTCCCAGAACACCCACTGAAGAAGACACTGTAAAACCATGTCTGAGTACTTTATACCTACAAAACCTTGAGAAGGCTTGCTTTAAGTTGGAACCAACTTGATGGAATTCAATCATATTATTATGATACCAACAGATCACTAATGATGAAGTCTCCTCTCAAGACACTGGAGGAAATAATGTATGGCCCTAAAATTATCTGTTTGGTTAAAACTTTAGAATCTGCAAGTGAAAAGGCATAGTGTTGTCCCCTCTATTTCACTATAATTACCAATGAAAAAAATCAATGCATTTCAATTTCTTGAGTGAAATCTGGGCTCTGTGTATCTGTTACAAGGAAAATAAATAAGGATATGTTCTTGGTGGCTCTCCAACAAAAGTACAAATATCTTCTGAAACAATTACAAGAACATGTCCCGCTAAACAGCATCCAATAATTGGCGTTAAGCCTACCTTTGCATTAGCACATTTATAATTCTTTCCTATTTTGCTTCCGCTTTAAAGCATGTTTCTGAAAGCCAAAACAGCTTTTAAAAATTAAAGGTTATATTTTTCCAGTTGATTTGTTCTGCCTAAAACGGGGATGTTGTCAGCTAAAATTTTGACAGGGTGCTGTTGTGGGCTGGAGAAAGTGCCTACGTACACAATTCGACCTCACAATAGATTGAAGCCCAGCTGACCCCTGAGAAAAGTATGGAGTAGGCAGGTTACTGGATACAAGCCAACTTACAGAAAAGCCCTAGATGGTCTTGTCAGTCAAAAGAACCTGTTTTGCTGCCCCAACGTGTGCACGTGTGCCTAGATATCCTGGAGGAAGGAAGAGAGACAGATGTTTCTCCCAAAAGCATTCACTCGGGAAGGCTGAAGGCCCTAGCGTGTTGCTGCCCTAAGCAGCCACCTGCACTACCATTTGGGACAGTCCTAAATGCATGAATGGTTTAGCAAGCAGGTGAAGCCATAACATCTGAAATCAGCTTGGGCAAGACAGTCAGCATGTCAAAGTTTAGCCTCAACTTCCTGACCATTCAAGACAGTTGGCATCCTTCCCCCAGAACTGTCCAGAAAGCTATCAAGCACCCCAAGTCTGACCCTTTCCCTAGTACTTATTTTCCGTCTTCCTCTTCCTCATCCGAAAGGATTAACACTCATTACTCACCCAGAGCCCCTTGGCAGATATCTGTCCTTGTAGCGCCTCCAACAATAAACTGAGGATCATCCACAATTTCCTACAGAGAGGATGAAAAACAAAATAAGCTGCTGGTTCTCCTTCAGCTTTTATGGTGTGATGTAGAGCAGTGGTCCCCAACCTTGGGCCTCCAGATGTTCTACAGCTCCCAGAAGCCTTCACAACCACCTCTACTGGCCAGGATTTTTGGGAGTTGAAGTCCAAGAACATCTGGAGGCCCAAGGTTGGGGACCACTGGTGTAGAGGACAGAGTGAAGAACTAGGACCAGGAGACCCCAGTTAAAATCAAGGTCTGCAATGGTTAATCTTTCCTTTTACATCCCAAATAACTTGAAAACTCTACTAGGGTCACCATAAGTCAGAAGTGACTTGATGGCACATAAAAGAGCACATGAAGAGCCTCGTGGCACAGTGGTTAAACCGCTGTACTGCACCCAAAACTGTGCTCACGACCTGGGGTTCAATCCCAAGTAGCAGGCTCAAGGTTGACCCGGCCTTTTATCCTTCCGAGACCAGTAAAATGAGTACCCAGCTCGCTGGGGGGGGGGGCAATGTGTAGCCTGCATAATTAACTTGTAAACTTCCCACAGAGTGCTTCAAGCACTATGGGGTGGTATATAAGCAGCATGCTTTGCTTTAAAAAACATAAACAAATGGCTGGTGCTAGAGACGTCTATAAGATTGTGTCAGCTACAGGGGCATCAAACACTAAATGCATGCCACAAAAAACCAGCTCCCCAGTCCTATGCCAAGTGAGAATATGCCCTGAAGATGGGAACATCTTCACAGCTTTCATCTATATCATATGCACCTCTGCTGTCCAAGTAACCATGGGTCATAAGATTTCCAAGGGTCTCAGAATATTGAAGCCAGTTCCTATAACTTCTGGTTTGAGACTAGTATACCCCAGAGAATGCACAATTTATGGGCTTTGAATTCCTCTCCCTGGATTTTCAGAGAAATGTTGAGAGAGTATAGGGACATATAGGCAAGTCCTGCTCTTCTGTCTTCACGTACAAATGGACAACTGTAGGGATCTCCCCACAAGAAGTAAGTAAGTATTTAATGGTTCTTCTGGGTTTTTCGGGCTCTTTGGCCGTGTTCTGAAGTAAGTATTTAATTTATTTTGTTAACCCAATCTTACATAATAAGAGATATAATACAATAAAACCTTATAAAGATATAACATGTTTCCCTGAAAATAAGACCTAACCTGAAAATAAGACCTAGTAGGATTTTTCAGGATGCTCATAATATAAGGCTTATCCCAAAAATAAGCCCCAGTTAAGTGAAACTCCACCCTCCACCATTGTGCAGCAACCAGAAGATGACATGACTGTATTTGAATAAATGTATATTGCAAGTGGGAAAAAAATCCCCTGAAAAAAAGCCCCAATGCGTTTTTTGGACCAAAAATTAATATAAGACCATATCTTATTTTCAGGGAAACATGGTATTAGTAAAAAGATACACAGTTTACATAATAAAACCAATTATAAATAAAGCACTATGTATGGTTTGCAGAACTAGAACCTACGGGAATCACACACGCGAGTGAGCATAGCAATATTATAGAATCTGGCAACACAGTTTGTGGTCTGTAACAACCTCTCCGAATGAAGAAGCTTCACATAGAATTCAATGGGCCTCCCCAGAAATTTATGAATAAGAGGATGAATAAGTTCCTTACGTAGTTCTTGACAGAAAGGGCAGCATAGAAGGACGTGGGTCACAGTTTCTACTTGGTTGCTTTTGCAAGGACATAAACACTCTGAAAAGGGGATATTTTGGAATTTCCCATCCAGAAGTTTGGAAGGGAACATATTCAGTCTAGCTAAGGTAAAAGCTCGTATTATCTTTGTGGACATTAGGCTAGAAAAATATGAAGACATTGTAAAAGCACTGTATGTAACTACACAGTTAGTACCCATCGGGCGCACATGATCCTGAAATTCTATATCCCAAATCCTACATTTGACTGCCACTTTGGCATTGCTGTAGCCCATCGCTATAAGAGCATTGGGAGAGAAGCCAATTTGTCGTTTCTCCACAAGAAGAGAGGGCCCAGCATGGCTCAAAAGTTTACACCACACTGGGGAACTTTATGCATATATATTGGTACATATATACAGTTCCTTCTTACATACGGCTGGTGGTAGAATTATGGTTGCAAGTGAGGCATATTCTTCCAAAATCCCTCTATGAAAAAAATTGCAAGTTACTGTCACATAGCATTGCTGTGTGGAACATACCATGCAAGGAAGGTCTCATTTCATCTTCTCACGCCCTGCATGCAAAGTATGAGGAGAGACTGGGGCAATAGCCAAGGGTGAGCTGGAAAGGATTGGTGAGGACAGAGAGTAGATTGGGGAGTAGGAGAAGAAAGGGATATATTTGTACTTGTGTGGTGGCCAAATAGAGTTCATGAGCTGTGACTGGATAGAGTGTGTGCCCTCATACATATATGTGAGGGGGTGGGAAGATCTTGTATTTATAACTGTGTGGTAGGCAGAGGAAGAAGGGAGAAGACAGAGATTGTAGCTATATAAGCAGCTGGGAGCGAACTAATGTGGGCCACTTTGGAACAGTCGGGCTTGATTAGAGTGATCTAATTAAGATTAATGGTTCACACAGAAATCACGCCTGCCAATATCCTGAAGTGGCTTAATAGGCAAAGCCACTTCAGGATATTGGCAAACGAATCCCTTCCTCTGCTCCTTGGCAGAGGGACAGGAGAAGTGAAAAAAGTGTTTTTACTGTATAATGGACTATTGCTGATGTACTGTATCAGTTCCTTTAAAAGAAAAAGAAAGCTTTTATTTGCCTTCTCTTAAAAGGCTGGTCAAGAAACCACTTGCAGTTGAATACATAGTGCTAGTCTCAACTGCAGGCAGTTTCTCAACCAATCCTTTAAGAGAAGGCAAAGAAAAGATGTTTTAGTTTTTTTAAATAACTGTTCCAGTGCATCAGTGGTAGTCCATTATAGTTTTTTTTTAATCATTTCTGATACACTGTCAAGGGGTAAATATCCTGTGGCTCATTTATTAAGCTAATATTCCAAATTATTTTACCATCATCATCATCATCATCATCATCATCATCATCATTGGGAAATTTGGTCATGCTTGCTTTGGATTGGTTCTAACAATCATATGCACTGGAACTGGCCCAAACCAAAGCCATCCTATCCACCCCAAAAAGGTGACGGGGCTCTGAAAGGTACAGAGATAGGACCACTCTGGGGCTCAGGTGGTTCGACCCAACAAAGACATTGCCTGGTCACTGTCTTTCAGAGCGCACCAGCCTGCTCCTGTGGCTGACTAAACAGCAGGCTAAACACCTGTGGAGTCAGCCTCAGAGTTTGCACAGGCTGTTCCTGAAAGATAAACAGGACTGTGAGCTGAAAGGACCACTTTTGGAGATCAGACCCCTTCCATGCCTTAAGTGAAGGAGCCAAGTAAGACACTTGCCTTCTGGTTTTGTAGCTGCCGATCCTCAGCACAAGGGCAGCTGCTTTATGAAGGGGGAGCCCTCATTTTGCAATGTCACCCATCCTGAAAGTGTTCAGTACTCCAAATGGGCTCAGTGACCAAACAAGTTGGTGACCTCCAGCTAACCTGGGGTGTGACCTTGAGTCCATATACCATTGCAACACATGCTTTGGCTGTTTTGCTGCCAGCAGGCAGTTACACCACTGAAAAGCATCTGATTTGGATTCCTGCACTGAGCAGGCGGTTATAGGCCGCTTCCAACTTCATGATTTTACGATTCTAATAATCATAGAATCATGATTTTTTTTTTTTAAAAAAAATATTCCAGCACATAAACTCTGTCTCTGTGGGAAAAGAACACACCTAAACAGAAGCCAGCAAAAGGTGGATGCAGTTTACTTCTTAAGGTTAAACTGCAAATGAGTGTATAATGAGACTGATGGAGGAGGCTTAGGAAAGAAGGCAGTCCAGGCAAACAATGGTCTTTTTAGCACTGGCTCCTCATTTATTGAGCCCAGGGAGGTTTGACTGGTAACAACTGCATTGGTTTTTGATACCACATGAAGACATTTGAATTTGACTAAGCATTTGATGAGCATGGAATGTGTACTTCTTGACCGTATAGGCTTTATATTCTTTGTTGAATTTTTAGGCGTTTAATTTAACTTAATTCAATTCAATTTAAATTGTAATTTTATACTGATTAGCTTGTTTGTATTATACTTGAATAAGTTTCTTAATATAATAATCATAATCATGTGCTGCCAATTCAATTCTGACTTATGGCAAAGAACAGCTTTAAAGTCTTTCACATATAAATGAATAAATAAAATAAAATCCAACATTCACAGTTAAGCAATAGGTTTATCAGAACTAACTCTAATTCTACACCAGTACACAAGCTTCTGAACTCTGCAGAAATATTCATCAGGATTGGTGGTAAAAAAAATGAGAAAGTTGTTATGGATTAACATGTCTACTTGCACTTTTGTTACTATATAAATAGGCATGTATTAGGCATTAAATTACTATACAGTAATGAGAAGAGGAGCCTCACTGGAAAAGACTATAACAGTGGTTCTTAACCTTGGATGCTTTTGAACTGCAACTCCCAGAAACCCCAGTCAGGACAGCTGGTGGTGAAGGCTTCTGGGAGTTGCAGCCCAAAACTCCTGAGTAACCCAAGGTTAAGAACCAGTGGACTATAAAGCCTGGAAAAGTGGAGAGCAATGGGAAAAGAGGAAGACCGAGCATGAGATAGATTGATTCAGTAAAGGTAGTTCAAACATGCCAGGATTTCACTGCACTTTATAAATCTACCTAGTCTAAAAACTATGCCAAATTTGCCAAGTAGAGATGTAATGGGCAGTTCTAGTAAATTTTTCAGTGTGGCATCCAACCTCCTCCTGGTGTGTATCCAAGAAAAGAGGGAAATAGATATGCAGGAGCCAAAGGCTCACAGAATCTCATTTATATAGCACTCAAGGATGACTTCAGAGGGGCTGGGCATCTCCAGGATGCACTCCCCCCTTGACATTTTTAGTTCAGTCGTGTCCGACTCTAGGGGGTGGTGCTCATCCCGTTTTCAAGCCATAGAGTCAGCGCTTGTCTGAGGACAGTTTCCGTTGCCACATGGCCCGTGTGACTAGGGAACACTGTTTTACCTTCCCCACGTGGCCAGTGGGAGTAGGGAACACTGTTTTACCTTCCCACTGAGGTGGTACCTATTTGTTTTTTAATCTTCACTGAACTGGGGTATGCTTATCTCATATATAATTTTTGCCACAGCCGGTTGTGCATTGGGATGCACTGCTTCCCATCAATGACAAAATCTCAAATGGAAACCATAAAAGTGTTGCTTCACACTCTGAACCTGGAAGGTAAATGCATACTATGACTTAAGTAAAACGCACAGATGTTACTGTGAAATACCTGGGATGCAGAAGCTGCTCAGAATGCTATGAACTGTTGATGTAATGAATATACAAGCAAAGAAATAGGCTGGTCTTTCTATTCTCTACTTTGTGAGAAAGACAATTTTCTACGTACACAGATGCATTTGAAACTTGACTGCATCTCTTAATTTATGGGAGTACAAATAAGAGGTTCAAATGGAAAAGAGGGAATAATTAGAAGATGGAAAGAGGCCATAAAAGTAATTAATATAACCTTGGGTGAAGCAAAAAGCAAAAAATAAAAAAATGCTGGAAACACTGGCATTTGTTCAATAAGCAAAGTAGCTTTCATGAAAGCTGGTAATAGTTGTATTATGCTAAGTCAGCTATCCTGAAAGCTGACATATCGCAATGCAAACCAATAAGCCAGCGTGGCACATGGAGGGTTCCCATAAGAGACGACCTACTTACCGACGGACGCTTCCAGCATATTCCACGGGTTTTGCCAGAACCCGGTCCCAGCTCGTTGAAGCCAAGGACGGAGGCAATGGCAGGAAACTGGGGGTCTTCAAACAGTCTGCCGCTTTCCAAACATTCCTGCTTCAGGGTTTCATAATCCTGGCCGAGGAACTTAACAGCATTGTGGTGATCGCCCACGCCCTCTGCTCGCAGCCGGTCCCTTTCAAGTTTAGCAGCCATTCCTCCAAAAGGCATCATGGGGTGTGTCTAGTGGAGTACAGGAGACCTCAGTGGCTCCCCTAGAATGCAAAACAAAGAGCACTGTGAGGTGGAACCACACATCCCCTGGAAAGGAAGCCTAGAAAGAAAATCAAGCATGAAGCTGGTGGGAGAGAGGTCGCTGAGATGCCCTGGAGAAGATATCTGGCCAATAATAGAACAGAACTGAGAAGCACTGGTCAAGATATGCACAAAGAAACCCTATACCATCATACAATGACTGGAACCAACAGCCTAGTTATTACAGGATAATAGTCCTTGGACATCCCAATGTGTGATTTACAATTAACAACCCCGAGAAAAGGTTATCACTTGAGTACTGACTTTTCTCTCTTTTCTAGGAGGATTCTGTAATGTTTGATGACTAACTTTCTGGTGAATTCTGAAAGCAAGAAAGGAATTTGCACCACAGCAATCCAAAGTTTAGTAAGTAGTCCACTCTCTGTGTGTCAAGCACCCTTGCTTAATAATTTGCCTATTAAGATACCAGAACCAACCAAACAAGGGGATTTACCACAGTATGAACACATTTGGCACAAGCAAGGGCCCTGCCAAAGCAGATGGCCAGCAACTGAACTGCCGAGAAGGGAGAACTCCCATGAACAAAGTGATATCCCTTTCTGCCTATTTTTGGCATATATTTCTGAATACATTTTAATCTTCCAAAACTTTCATCCCATAAAGTCCAGCAGAGCAATCAATCTGGGAAAGGACTATTTAATTTGTTGAACAAATTTGTGATGATGGTCCCCGTACTGCTTTTTGTGCCCCTCAATGCTCTCCAGATTTTTGTAAAATACAGTGTTGTGATTGGCTACTGGAATTTGCCTTTAAGCTGCTAAATTGCCTGCTTACTTTTTTACAAGCCCTGACCAGTATTTATTGGAAGAACACTTTAATAACCTCCATTTAAAGAAGTAATTTACTAGCACTTCTCTTAAGTTTTAGGTTTTTTAAGAAAACAAAGAACTGTGTGAGGTTAAACATAAAAGTTGCGTGCACACACATATATAAAATTTTATGTACACACATATTATGAGACACATTATTATAAAAGGAAAAACATCTACTAAGTGCCTTCCCTCCCTTTTAACCCACACATTTTTGAGGCTATGGACTTCAAGCAACTGGCCACCCCAAAAATTGGTCCATCACCCCACAGAGGTTTGCCATCTCTTCTGTAAACAAGCTTGCATGTTAACAGACATTGTAATGTATTCTTGAAGGCTTTCACAGTCGGGATCCAATGGTTGTTGTAGGTTTTTCAGGCTTTTTGGCCATGTTCTGGAGATTTTTCTTCTTAACATTTTGCCAGGAGAAATGCAGGTAACATTTCCTGGCATGTGTGCAAGGAAGTACACATTAAAAAGGCAGCAGGATACTTTCAATGCAGCTTACTGGTGAATACTGGTTGGAGTATCACACCACACTGGTCAGCAAAGGAGCAAAACACTGGACTAGACAGCTTTTTGGTCTGACCCAGGATGGGTTTTCTTCTGTTCTTATTTTACAGGAAGAATGATCAGAATGTGCCTCCAAACAAAGAGATGGCTCCATACTGGTTTTCTAATGAACACTGCCTCATACCTGGCTATAATTCTTCCCTGAAGCTTTTTGTAAAAATATGGATAGTAAGGGTTGGTTTTCAACAGAGGATTCCTTGCTTACACACAATTTCTCCAAGATAAACATGGCCAGATTAAGGGTGATTGTATGAACATACAGTTAACATTAGAGGTGATCTGGCTTTGAGTCATAAAAACTGAAACTCTTTTTTTCTTCCAAACCTATCTATACTAATTGCTTAGAGAAACCTACATGAGAGTTCTTCTAAATCACTGGTTTTTAACAGCAAAAACCCACCCAAAATTATTACTGAAAACACATTAGTTTTTAAAACCAGCATGACAATAATAGGTGTTCTGAGAAAAATATTTTAAGGCATTTTTCTTTGTTATGCATGGATCAAAGCATGTAGGCAGTTGCATATGCCAAAGATTTGTGCAGCCTCTCCGCATCCTATTCAGCTCTGTGGCCCTCTTATTTTTTCCTTACCAGACTTCAATAATCTGGATGAGAATCTAAGATTACAGACAGTCTAGAGGCTAGATGGGGAACTGATCCTGGATTTTGTACGTGCAAAACCAACTGCACCAAAAGCAGTTCATAGGACACACGGTATGCCAAGAAGTCCTTGCAGTTTGAAGACACCCTGGACTAAATGCATATAAGGTCAAAACATTATGAAGAGTTCACTAAAAGATGGCTACCCGGTTTGCACAACTCAGATTATAGCCATCAGGGCCTGCAGATCCCTGCTGGCAGGGTGGATAAAAATCAATCTAAATCACGATTTGATTTAAATCATTTTAAAACATCCAATTTTTAAAATTTAAATGCACTTTCTCTGGGGATAGGCCAGCTTTTACATCGCAGACTGCACAAAGGCTTCCCAACAGAGCTAAAGTATAAACTCCTCCAGCTTTTATACTGAAAGCCAACTGCTGACTTTGCTTTGATGCAACATAATAAAACAGAGATGGGGCATTTGTGGCCCTCCAGATGTCACTGATCTACTATTTTAACAGATCTGAACAGTGGTTTATTGTAGCTGTGAGTGAGGCAAATGAGAGTTGAAGTCCAGCAACATCTGGAGGACCACAGGTTCCCAACCCCTGCACTACAAGTGAGCCTATATCTAACAAGGCATAACTAGGTTTGGGATGATGTTGGAACTGACAGCAATTATTGTGAGCTAAAACTTGTTTCAATGCCCCAAGTTTACACAGACTTCCTTCCCGCTACATGCAGATCTTTCCATCCAGACCAGCCTCTTCTACTGCTGACTCACATGGGCAGGGTGGAGAGAAACAGATTCCAAGGCACAGTCATCAAACCACACCAAGCTTCCTGATTTGTGGTTTTCTGTGATGAACACGGGCTGTTCTGCTAACAGAAAGCAAGTCTGAACAACTCTGATATGGATGCCTGTACTTCTTGCTGCCACAACACAATGTGTGACAAGAGGAGTACTGAGGTGTGTGCTGTGACAAATCTGGAACCAGGTCATCTTCCATTTTCTGCCTTATTCAGATTGTCCTCTGCAGACTTCTCATAATGCATGGTGAACGCAAGGGGGGGGGGCAGTGGCAAGGGACACGCTGCCTTGCTGCTCTTGGGAATGAAGAAAATAAATGCTTGAACTGGACTATTGTGTTAAACAGTCAAAAGCAATCACATGGGATGTGTATTGGATTGGGTAGTAATGTGTATGTTGAGGAGGGTTGCCCTTATCCCATGCAAGAGCAGCTAATCGGCAATACCTTTGTAGACCACTAATTTTAAAAAAAAAACACAAAAAATTGTACAATTTGTGAGCTTTTCTGGGGAAATCCCACTTCTTCAAGGCAAAGTACTAAAAGTCCAAATGTTCATGGCAAGATGTCCTTTGTCAGGAACATTTGGACTTTGGGACTTTGCCTTGAAGAAGTGGGATTTCCCCAGAAAAGCTCACAAATTGTACAATTTTTTGTGTTTTTTTTTTAAAATTAGTGGTCTACAAAGGTATTGCCGATTAGCTGCTCTTGCATGGGATAAGGGCAACCCTCCTCAACATACACATTACTACCCAATCCAATACACATCCCATGTGATTGCTTTTGACTGTTTAACACAATAGTCCAGTTCAAGCATTCATTTTCTTCATTCCCAAGAGCAGCAAGGCAGCGTGTCCCTTGCCACTGCCCCCCCCCCTTGCGTTCACCATGCATTATGAGAAGTCTGCAGAGGACAATCTGAATAAGACAGAAAATGGAAGATGACCTGGTTCCAGATTTGTCACAGCACACACCTCAGTACTCCTCTTGTCACACATTGTGTTGTGGCAGCAAGAAGTACAGGCATCCATATCAGAGTTGTTCAGACTTGCTTTCTGTTAGCAGAACAGCCCGTGTTCATCACAGAAAACCACAAATCAGGAAGCTTGGTGTGGTTTGATGACTGTGCCTTGGAATCTGTTTCTCTCCACCCTGCCCATGTGAGTCAGCAGTAGAAGAGGCTGGTCTGGATGGAAAGATCTGCATGTAGCGGGAAGGAAGTCTGTTACCTAATTCCAGGATGGATTTGATTTGAATCAAAACAATTGAAATCATGATTTAAATAAATCTTGATGATTTTTTTGATGATTTAAATAAAAATATTTGTATAATTTAAATTGTTATTAAATTTAAATTTTGGGGGGAAACTGATTTTTATCCACTGTGTGTAGTTCAATATTATATCTGGAAAGGCAGATAAGAGAACTAAACTGGAGATTTATTCAGACAAGAATGCAAGGAGACCATAAAGTATTATTTCATGTGAACTGAAAGTCCACAAGACCTGACAGAAGCCCAGCTACACTGGCAGAATGCTGAACATCTTCTTGCCATAACAGAGACACTGAGGGAATGACCAATTATTCCTGACAGAACACCAACTTAAGGACACGCTTTAGAAGTCCCAGTGTGCAAAACAACCCTTCCCTGAACCTTAGAGGGCCACACTTAGACCCATGACTAGAGATGGGCACGAACTGGAAAACTGGAGGTTCGTGATGGTTTGTGGTTACTTGCTGCTTCTGCACATGCACTCGCCACTCAGCTAATAGGCGGGTGCCAGCACAGAGGCAGTGGGCCTGGCTCCCGGAAGGAAAGTCAACCTGCTCTCTTTGACAATGGCAAAGGCAAAACCACTCAGGGGCGCAGTGGGAAGGGCCCAGGTGGGCATCTATTTTGCCAAAGCAAAATGAAGCACTGAAGTGGGAAAAGTTTAGTGCTTCATTTTGCTTCAGCAAAGTAAGATTTCCAAATGGGACACAAACTGAACCATGAACCAGGCCAATTTATCGATTTTTCTGGTTTGTGGCTCTGGTGCATGCCCAGTTCTACCCATGACACAAACAAGCCCCTTCAATATTTTTTATATAAATAAGAGCAACCACTGGTCAGATGGGTGGTATTAAACCTGTATTAAAAATAAA